ACATGTGTCCGCTCTTGTGGCAATAGTGACACTCGCCGTCGAATCGGCCGCGACCGCGTCCGTAGTTCTTCTCGTCGCTGCCGTAACCGCCACTCCCACGGCCTCCGCCGAAGTTGCTGCCACCAAACCTTCCTCCCCCTCGTCCTCTGCCTCTTCCTCGACCATATCCACGGCCGATGCTCGCTGCCCCAGCGCCATCCGCACTCGCCAATTCACGGCGGCGGAAATCCTCTTGAAGGATAGCTCGCTTCACGTCTTCAAGCGAGAGGCGGGGCAAGTCACGATTAAGGTTGATGATGAGCGAGGACCATGACTCCGGGAGTAGGGCCAGCAACTTGGTCTTCTTTTGGAGCTCACTATAGTTCAAATCAGCTCCCTCAAGCCGCGTCAACAAGTCGAAGAATTTCTGCACCCCTTCTTCAACCGCTTCATCCTCTTCAATTCGTAACGTCGCCATTTGCCGTTCCAACACCACAGCTACCGCCGCTGTTGCAGGAGCGTGTACACCCTTGAGAGCAGCCCATGCTTTTGGTCCCTTCTCTGGTTCACGCTGGAAGGGCTTGATGTGACGGATTTGGCTGCTCCCCAACGCTTGCCCAAGTAGGAGGTAGCCTTGTGCGCTCTTCCGCACCCACGGGCTCTTCTCCGGGTCGTTCTCGGGACGCTTCTTCGTTCCTTCCATCACCTCCAGCAGGTCATAGTGGTCAAATATGTTCTCCATTCTGAAGGACCACTCAGCAAAGTTGTCACCATTGAACTTGTCAAGGCCAAACACTCTAGGCTCATCCCTAGATGGGCCAACACTTGGTTGCACGGGCGCCATGGCTGAGTCACGGGGTTGGCCTTGAGCTTGGGCTTCTCCTCTGCCACCAGCACCTCTGCCACCCCTTTCATCAGGTCCAGCCATTGTCGAAACTGCTCCGAGGGGCTCTGATACCACTTGTTATAGTCACAGTAGGCTCCAATGTGCCTAAAACGAAAGATAGAGTGCACAGTCGGATTTCTGCACAGCGGCTTCAAACGTTCATAACGTTTTGGTCACAGCTCTAAATGACTTGATTCAACTTGGATCTGGAGCGCCTTATTGTCGCCTACAATAGGCAATTTAGATCGCACGATTTGACCAAGTATTGACGACACAGGGTTGGTTTGAACGAACGGCACTATGGCAGCCACTATGGTCTTAGAACACAAGATAGGAAAGGTTAGGAAGAGTTACGAGTTGGGAATGACTCCCAGCTCCTACAAACCCCAAGAGCCGAGGTACAGTGATGTGGAACAGTGCCACACTGTCCCCAACCAGGAAGGGTCTCGAAACTACCCTTCACTAGGGCCTACACCAAGTGAAATGTTACACTACACAAAGTAATGTAACTATCTTCAATATCTTGAGGTGTACCCTTTTGCCGAGCTTTGAAATCACTTGTGGATTGACACCAAGGCTCGGCTCTTCATCACAAACTCATCCTTGAGTTCTTGATGGGTCTGCTGCACACACCTGCGACACACCGAACGTTCGACAGAGGACAAAAGAGAAACCGCGCACGACGAAATAGAAACCGCGCGCGAGACACAAACGACCACGTAACACGCGTCTAGCGATAACTCGCTATTGACTCGACACATACACTCGACATCATGACTCAACATTCACACACAATTATAAGCATTAAATATATATTATCTCATGCCCTCATACCATTCCATAGACACACACACATGCACGCACACGGACAACAAGCCGAGTGCAAACCATAGGGTTGCACCAACAGTAAGGTCTGGAAGGAGCTCATGGGACTGTTGGGGACAAAGCTTGCAATGTCTTTAGCATACCACCCCTAGACTGACGGACAGACAGAGCGACTCAATCAAGTGGTTGAACATTTACTGCGCACAGCTTGCAAGGACGACGTCAGCCACTGGGACACACAGTTACCGACCCTAGAGTTCGCTTATAACAACGCATCACATGCGGCCACAGGGAAAACTCCTTTCTTCCTGTGTTACGGACGAGAACCACTCACACCACAGCAGCCTACGACACCGGCACACGTCCAAGCCGCACATGACTTCGTCACCACCATGCAGCAGCTATGGGAGAAGACTCAACGACGTCTCACCACGATGTAGAACTCCCAGAAGCAGTATGCCGATCGTCAGCGACGAGATCACTCTGTAGCAGTCGAAGATCAGGTGCTTCTTGACACACGCAACTTGAACCTGTCTCACCTCCCATCCAAACTCCGTCCTCGCTTCTGTGGTCCATTTCTCGTGGAGGCACAGGTGACACCAGTTACATTCCGCTTGCGCTTACCAGATACGTGGAAGCTTCACAACGCTTTCCATGTGCAGCTACTAGAACCCTACAAGGACCCCAACCACCAGTTCCAGGGACGGCAACTACCGCCACCTCCACCTGTTCTTGTGCAGGATGAACCCGAGTATGAGATTGAGCGCGCTCTATCTCATCGGCACCGTGGCGGCAAGAACCTTGAGTTCCTGATACGCTGGAAGGGATACGACCCCACTGAGGACAGTTGGGTTGCAGAAGCTGATATAGGCAACACACGCTGTGCTCTCAAGGACTATCTTGTCAAGTAGGGTGTATCTCACGCCACCCAGCTTTGAGGGGGGGACGTGTGAGAGTACGACGGCTTATGCCAGCTATGCTTGCTTGCCTTTACTTTATCATGCTATTTCTAGCATAGGATAATTATATGCATGCATGAATTGCTTGATTTCCTAGGCTAGGTGCTTTCCTATATTTTATTATAGTTATAGCACCGAGCTAGGTTACGTGCATCGAATTCTGGCTTTCGATTGCCACCGAATTGCCTTCTACCGAATTCCGTAAGGATCTGTTTGGGACGCTTCGCGACCCGCGGAACCTTTGCGTACCACCTAGTTACGAGGCCTTGTGTCGAGCCTATATATAGCCTCGTGTTGTACCCAGGTGATCATTCAATTAAATTCAATTACATTTCTCTTTTCTGAGCTCGTTCCTAGATCCTCACACCTTCGGACGAGTCCGTAGAGCCGAGTGGTCCGTACCCAGAGCTTGTGGGTTTCCTCATGTACCTGATGACATGCATACGACCTGACCTCGCGTACCCTCTCAGCCTTCTGGCTTGCTACGTGGCACCCGGTAGACACCGAAAGGTGCACTTTGATGCTGCGAAGAGGTTACTTCGTTACTTGTGTAGTATATCGGGCATGGGGCTCATGCTTGGAGGACAGGGTTCAGTGGTACTCGTAGGACAATCTGACGCTTCTTGGGCCGACGACCAGGCGACTCAGCGTTCGTCACAGGGTTACACCTTCAGTCTTGGCTCTGGTTCTGTCTTGTGGAGGTCCACTCGTTCTTCTTCTGTGCTTGGCTCCAGGTGCGAGGCCAAGATCTACGCTGGGGCCATGGCTGTACAGGAGCTACGCATGCTGACCTACCTGCTGACCGACTTGGGGGAGCGGCCTCCTTCTCCTCCGGTTCTGTACGTCGACAACAAGGCAATGCTTGCCTTGTGTCGCGAACAGAGACTAGAGCACAGAACGAAGCACATTGCTCTTCGCTACTTTTTGTCAAGCTTATATGCTATAGTCTGTGTAGGCTGTAGTGGGGTAGTTCATATGGGGTATAACACTTTAGGGTTTCCTACTTGTACTCCTCATCTTGCTCAATGTAATCATTCCTCAATTCTCACATGGTATAGAGCAGGTTCCCTCGTGGGAACTTCCTAGGGCCCACCACTGAACATCGAATTTTTTTTCTGTCCTGAGATCGAGTCGCTCCTGACCGAGGCGCGCCCTGTGTGCTGCCTTCCCCTTAGCGAACCATCGCGCTGCCCTCAGCGGCCCTCCCCCTCTCTGACGGCCCCTCGCGACCCCGTCGCCGCCCTCCTAGTGGCCCGTCGCGCCGCCCTCAGCGGCCCCTCCTCCACGGCCCCGTTGCCGCCCTATCGCGGCCCCGTCACCGCCCTATCGCGGCCCCGTCGCCGCCCTCTTGCGGCCCCGTTGCCGCCCTATCGCGGCCCCGTCGCCGCCCTCTTGCGGCCCTGTCGCCGCCCTATCGCGGCCCCGTCGCCGCCCTCTCGAGGCCCCGTTGCCGCCCTATCGTGGCCCCGTCGCCTCCCTCTCGCGGCCTCGTCACCGCCGTTCGCAGCCCCGTCGCCGCCCGTAGCGGCCCTGCAGCCGTCCCTCGCGGCCTCGTCGCCGCCCTCTCGCGGCCCCAGACGCCGCCCTCTTGCGGCCTCGTCGCCGCCCCTCCGCGGCCCCGATGCCGCCTCCTACGCGGCCTCGACGCCGCCTCTACCGAGCCGCCCAGCAGCAGAGCCGCCGAGCCGCCCAGCATCCGAGCCGCCGAGCTGCCCAGCAGCCGAGCCGCCTAGCCGCCGAGCCGCCCAATAGCCGAGTCGCCGAGCCACCCAGCAGCCGACCCACCGAGCCGCCCGACAGCCGAGCTGCCCTGCAGCCGAGCCGCCGAGCCGCCCAGCACCCGACCACCGAGCCGCCCAGCAGCCGAGCCGCTGAGCCTCTACCAGTCCTACCGACACGCCCCGGCCCTACTTACTCGTACTGGTGAGCTCACTCATTGCTAGACCTCTGCAGTCAAGGCTACCCCTAGTATTCTTACCTTTGACACTGAGGGCCGTGCTGTTGACTTTGAGGTCTAGGTCGATGACCTCCAGCTGTTCCTCTAGTGCGATAGGGCAGACGGCCTCTCTCTGTTTGACCTCACCTGTGGTGCCTCGCCTGCCACGCCTGCTACTACTGACAGCACTGTTTGCTCAAAGTGGGCGACACGCGATGCTGCTGCCCTTCTTGCTGTGCGTCGCCACTTACCGACCACTGAGCGTGCGCACTTTAGCCAGTACAAGAGTGCTCAGACCTTGTACGACGCAGTAGTTGCACGCTACTCTTCCCCTGCCACCGCTGCACTGAGCCGCCTCATGCTACCGTACCTCTTCCCTGACCCTGCTGCCTTTCCCACAATCGCTGACCTCATTATGCACCTCCGCACTAGTGACACTCGCTACCGCGCTGCGCTTCCTGCTGAGTTCTGCGCCAAGACCCCCCCCCCCCCCATGTACATCGCCCTCTACTACCTAGTCACTCGGCTCCCTGACTCTCTCTGCGTAGTCACGGACCACTTCCTCTCAGTTTGCCCCACCACTCTCACCGTTGACCTCCTCGAGAAGGGCCTCCTAGCAGTAGAGAAAAACATAGTCGCTGTAGGTGGGGTGTTCCCCTTCCCCCCTCTTGCCCTCTGTTGCTTCTGCTGTTGTTGGCGACCTCTTTGGTTTCTACGGGGTCGGCACTGCGTCTGCCCCTAGCGAGAGACACCGCACCGGCAAGGGCAAGGGGGGCAAGGGCGCTGGGAGGGCTAGCGGGGGAGGTGGAGGAAGTGGTGGAGGCAGTGGAGGGAGTGGGGGTGGTGGTGGGAGTGGTGGCGGGGGTGGCGGCGGCGGCGGCAGTAGTGGAGGCGGAGGAGGCGGCGGTGGTGGCGGAGGGAGCGGAGGCGGCGGAGGTGGCGGAGGAGGCGGAGGTGGAGGAGGCGGCGGAGGCGGCGGCGGCGGCGGTGGTGGAGCGGGTCGCGACTCTGCGCAGAGGAGTGGGTCAGGTGGTGGTCTGCGCCAGCAGCAGTAGCGTGGTGTGACCCTGTCCCCTCAACAGCTTCGTTAGTGGTACGCTGCGCGTCAGCGCGATGGGGGTACTGGTCCTTGCACTTACGTCCTCCGTACCGGCGACCGAGCTGGTGAGCAGTGCGGGGGCCCGCACTCCACCCAACGCTGCTTCGGCCGCCAGACGGACGCGTGGCGTCACCAGTTCCCCGAGGCGTCAGAGATCCATCGCTGGGGAGATCTGTCTAGGGCGGGGGTTGCCATCTTTGATCTTGACTATGATGCTTTCCTTGCTGCCATGTATTTTGTTACTACTAGTGTTGAGGGTGACTGTTACCTGTGTGTACCGCCTGACCTGGGCATTGAGGCCACTGCTCTAGGTGCTGGTGAGGCTGCTGCTCTAGGTGCTAGTGCGTCTGCTGCCCCAGGTGCTAGTGCGTCTGCTGCCCCAGGTGCTGGTGAGTCTGCTCTCTCAGGTACTACGTCGGCTCAGGCCTTACACACCTTCACCATTGACTCGGGTGCGTCCCGCTCCTTCTTTTGAGACCACACCACTCTTACGCCGCTCAGTCGGCCGGTTGCAGTCTCCCTGGCGGATCCCTCTGGGGGTCCTGTCCTTGCTAGCTTCTCCACTGTCTTACCGTGCCCGGCAGCCCCCTCTGGCACCCTGTCAGGTCTCTACCTCCCCTCGTTCTCTACGAACTTGGTGAGTGGAGCGGACCTACAGGATAGGGGGGTTGACCGGTTCACTCCTGCGAGTCAGCGGGTGACCCACTGCACGTGTGCTCGGACATGCCGACACTTGGCCACGTTCACTCGTTGGCCAGGATCGAGCCTGTGCACCCTTACTAATGAGTCTCCTCCGGCTGTTGAGTCTGGCCAGGTAGCTCCATCAAGTCAGGTGTTTGCTGCAGCGTCCTGGTTGTTATAGTCAAGAGTCCACTTAGAGGTCGCGGATGCCCATGAAACCGCCTAAGCAGAATGTGACGTCTTCAAACCGCCTCTGTTCAAAACGCCGTCACGATCAGCTCCGATAACACATGAGGCTGAAACTTGGACCGCACTTAACCTTAAGTGTCTGCTTTCCAACGTTGTATTGCTTGCTTTCACCAGAGGTGTATGCGCTACGCTGTGAATGAAAACGTAAGCTCGGCTGAAAAACGTGTATACTCGTTGATGCAAGGAAGAGGTGAGTACAACATTGCCTAGGGGACTCATAAGGGGTTAGGTCATCCTCGGAACTCAGAGAAGGTTGAGTCCTAGGGGAGAAAGGCTTGAGAAGGATGGGAAACGTCCTAGCTAGGTCAGCAAAAGCCAACCACACATGGATGTTCAGAGCTGTACTCAAGGCAACCAATTGTGAGTTAAGCCAACCATGAGTCAGCTTGTCTTCCCACTTGCACCCTCTTGCAAGCTGGTTCCAGGAAGACCACACTTCTCAAAAGGGGGGCAATAGAGCCCCACTTGACCACCTGTACTTCTTGTCTCATTCTCTGTCCCTGCACCATTGGCATGACAACAATGAAAGGGTGGCAAGGGAAATGCTGCCAACAGTGCACCATGACTACGGAACAGTGCATTTCGGCAGCTGTCATGCAATGCTCACATGTTGGATCGTTCTGAACCTTGGTGAACATCTTCACAGCGGGGCAAAGAACTGCCAGACCGAATTTCAGACCAATCAAAGCTTGGTAGACGAGTCAGCAGCCGAAATGGTGAACTCGGGTGTTACAAAAAAGGAGTAACACACACTTCCGGGATGCCATAAGTCTTGAAACATAAAATGTTGTCATGCCTTGGTAACGGCTTCAAAAACTCTGACACTTTGAGGGTTTGAAGAACACATGTTGAAAATCTTCCCCACAAAATTCCAGAATCTGAGCAGGCTTGTAGGCCGAATGGGAGTGCGATGACCGTGCCACTGTAATGTGTTGGCACAACACAGGTCTGGTCCTGAGTCTGCTCCCCGCTCGTGTCGTCTCCTGTCCCACCAGACTCTCTTCTGGCACCACCGCCTTGGTCACCCCTCCCTGCCTCGTCTCCGAGGCATGGCCTCCCATGTCCTTGTCTCTGGTCTCCCTCAGTCTCTCCCTCCCCTACCTCCGGGGCCTGGCCCTACCTGCATCCCCTACGTCGAGGGGCGACAGCGCGCCGCCCCACACCTCCGAGTTTCCTCCGACAGAGGCTCCGCTACAGACCCTCCACATGGACGTGTGGGGCCCCGCCCGTGTCCTTGGGCAGAGGCACGAGCGTTACTTCCTATTGGTGGTTGACTACTACTCGCATTACAAGGGTGACGTCACTGAGGTGTTGATCGCCTGGATCCGCGCAGCTCGTCTCCAGCTAAGAGGAGTTTCGGCTCAGACTTTCCTGTTCTGCGTCTGCACTCGGACAGAGGCGAGGAGTTTTCCTCTGCCCGTCTGGAAGCCTTCTGTCGTGCACACGGCATCCGCCAGACCTTCACGCTTCCGGCCTCTCCACAGAAAAATGGGATTGCTGAGCGCCGCATTGGCATGGTCATGGACGTCGCTCGTACATCCATGATCCATGTGGCTGCTCCCCATTTTCTGTGGCCGTTTGCGGTTCAGTACGCAGCGCATCAGATCAACCTTCAGCCCTGGGTCTCCTTGCCAGAGACCTCCCCCACCTTGCGGTGGACGGAGAAGGTTGGCGATGCGTCTGCATTTCCGGTCTGGGGATCTCGGGCGTTTGTCCGCGACTTGTCTGCGGACAAGCTGTCCCCCCGTGCTGTTCCTTGCATCTTCCTTGGCTTCCCCCCTGACGCGCCTGGGTGGCAGTTTTACCACCCCACCTCGCGCCGTATTCTGTCCTCCCAGGACGTCACCTTTGACGAGTCGGTACCTTACTACCGTCTCTTCCCCTACCGCACTGCGCCCCTCCCCCCGCCGCCGCTCTTCCTTGCGCCAGGTCCTCCCCCGGTAGACCCACTCCCCCCTCACGTGCTGCTCGCACTGGACGCCGTGTTCCGCGTGAGCGTCCTCCACCTGTCCCTAGCACACACTATATGACTCTGCGTCCTTCCACTGCTCCACATCGTGTCCCTCTGCCGTCTCTTCCTGCGTCCTCTCTTCCTACTCTTGCTGACCCGGAGTCTGACTCTCTTCGTGCTTCCAGTCCTACTGTCACGCGTCTCCTGGCCACTGCTGTCACTGACCCTTCCTTTGAGTCTGCTGCTGCATCTGCCCTAATTGCTGAGCTTGTCGACTTTGCTGCTCGCTGTCGTCTAGACTACGCCGCGAGTCTTGTTGCTGAGTCTGAGTCTGTCTGTCCTCCGTCCGTCAGGGGTGAGTGTGCTCTAGGCACGGACGTCCTTGAGGATAGACAGGAGGACCTTGAGTGTCTTGCAGCCGCTGCGCCTCATCTCGTGTCCATGCTGCTTGCCCCTGAGGGAGACTCGGATGCTCTAGACATCCCGACCCCGCGCTCTTACGCTGAGGCGATCGCGGGTGAGTACTCATCACAGTGGCAGTCAGCCATGGACGCAGAGATGGCATCCTGGAAGTCCACAGGCACTTACGTCGACGAGATTCCCCCTCCTTGGGCGAACATCGTCAGTGGCATGTGGATTTTCAGGGTGAAGCGGCCGCCGGGTTCTCCGCCTGTCTTCAAGGCTCGTTACGTTGCTTGAGGCTTCAGTTAGCGAGAGGGAGTAGACTTCTTTCAGGCCTTCTCCCCCACCCCGAAGATGACCACTCTTTGGGTGCTACTGCACGTTGCTGCTCAGCGTGACTACGAGCTTCACTCTCTTGACTTCAGCATAGCTTTCTTGCAGGGCAGCCTGCATGAGGAGATCTGGCTGCGCCGCCCTCCTGGCTTCACTGGGTCGTTTCCTCCTGGTACCCAGTGGAGCCTCCGGCGGCCGGTCTACGGTCTTCGCCAGGCGCCACGTGAGTGGCACGACACACTGAGGAGTACTCTTGCGGCACTTGGGTTCGCGCCTTCTACTGCTAACCCGTCGTTGTTTCTGCACATCGACACTTCGCTGCCGCCGTTCTACATCCTCGTGTACGTCGACGAATTGGTCTTGCCACTGCAGACACTGAGGCTCTTGCCCATGTGAAGTCGGAGCTGCAGAAGAGACACACGTGCATAGACTTGGGTGAACTACGCAGCTACCTTGGCTTGGAGATCACCCGAGACAGAGCACGCCGCACCATCACACTAGCTGAGTCACACATGGTGCAGCAGGTGCTTCAGCACTTCGGCTTCACCTGGTCCTCAGCACAGGCCACTTCTCTGGCTACAGGTCACTCGCTCTCAGCTCTGCCTTTGGATGAGTCCGTAGAGCCGAGTGGTCCTTACCCAGAGCTAGTTGGCTGCCTCATGTACCTGATGGCTTGCACTCTTCCTGACCTAACGTTCCCTCCTAGCCTTCTGGCCCGCTACGTGGCTCCTAGTATGCACCGAAAGGTGCACTGGGATGCTGCAAAGAGGGTATTGCGCTACTTGTGCAGTACATCAGGCATGGGGCTAGTGCTTGGAGGGGGGAGCTCAGTTGTTCTCACTGGGCACTCAGACGCTTCTTGGGTTGACGACCAGGCTACTCAGCGGTCGTCACAGGGTTACACCTTCAGCCTTGGCTCTGGCTCAGTTTTGTGGCGTTGTACGCGTTTCGTCTTCAATCCTTAGCTCTAGTTGTGAGGCTGAGATCTACGCCATAGCCATGGCTGCACAAGAGTTACGCTAGCTCACCTACATGCTGACCGACCTGGGAGAGCGGCCTCGTTTTCCTCCAGTGCTGTACGTCGACAACAAGGCTACCATTGCCTTGTGTTAGGAGCACAGACTGGAGCACAGAATGAAGCACATCGCCCTACGTTACTTTCTGGCTCGAGAGTTGCAGCAGCGTGGTCAGCTTCGTCTGCGTTACGTGGCCACTCAGGCCAACATTGCTGATATATTCACCAAGGCGCTTCAGTCTGGTGATCATCAGCGCTTCTGCACTTTGCTAGGGCTTGTGCCCACTTTTCCTCACTTCTTGTAGACTCTGCCTGTACTGTGATCTATATATATATACCTACATGCTTGCTCTGCTAGGTATAGATCACTGTGAAGCTTGTGTTACATGTATGCTTCTTGCTTGTGCTCAGAGTGTGTGGTGACTTTGTGATCCACCCTGAGCTTGCTTTGTCATTCTTGACTGGTCTTGTGACCTCTTGTTCTCCCCCACTTAGCCTATGGGGGTGTGTCAAACATTGAATATGTTTCTGTTTTGTAGGCTACAGTGGGTTAGCCTTTAGGGTGTACATTTCTCTAGGGTTTCATACTTGTACTCCCAAATGTTCCTAGTTGACCACTTCTTGATTCTGACACCATTTTCCTCTCCTCTTAGTTTAACAATGCGCTTATAGATTTGACTCAGTTATAAGCGCACCCCCTAAAAAATACTATTTGATGATAAGCGCAGGTGCGCTTATATCCGGGGTAATCTAGTAATAGGCGGAAGCCATGTGGGCGAGGATCTCGCAGTAAACGAGGCTCGGAATTGGGGAGAAATTTGTGAAGGCGACTTGTAAGTGCTTC